CTGGTGACAGAAGATACAGAGATGGCAGAGTTACTGAATGCCTTCTTTGTCTCTGTCTACTCTGCTGCAGGCAGTCCTGAAGAGCCCTGTACCCCTGAGACCTTAGATGAAGTCAGGTCGACGGAGCGACTTGCCTTAGTCGATGAGGAATGGGTTAGAGATCAGTTGAGCAATCTGGACATCCATAAATCCATGGGTCCAGATGGGATGCACCCGCGGGTGCTGAGGGAACTGGCGGAAGTCATTGCTAGACCACCCTCCATCATCTTTACCAAGTCTTGGGAAATGGGAGAGGTGCCTGAGGACTGGAGGAAAGCAAATGTCACTCCAGTCTTCAAAAAGGGCAAGAAGGAGGACCCGGGTAACTATAGACCGGTCAGCCTCACCTCCATCCCTGGGAAAGTAATGGAACACCTTATCCTTGGTGCCATCTTAAGGCATATCAAGGATAAGAGGGTTATGAGGGGCAGTCAACATGGCTTCACCAGGGGGAAATCATGTTTGACCAATCTCTTAGCCTTTTATGAGGAAATAACACGGTGGATGGATGATGGCAGAGCGGTGGATGTGGTCTACCTTGACTTCAGCAAAGCATTTGACACAGTCTCCCACAGCCTCCTTACGGCTAAATTGAGGAAGTGTGGACTGGATGATCAGGTAGTGAGGTGGACTGTGAACTAGCTGAAGGAGAGAAGCCAGAGAGTTGCAGTCTATGGGGCTGAGTCTAGTTGGAGGCCTGTAACTAGTGGAGTGCCTCAAGGGTCAGTACTGGGACCGGTATTATTTAATATATTCATCAACGATTTAGATGAGGGAATTGAGTGTACTATCAGCAAGTTTGCTGATGACACTAAGCTGGGAGGAGTGGCTGACACGCCAGAAGGCTGTGCTGCCATCCAGCGAGAGCTGGACAGGCTGGAGAGTTGGGCAGGGAATAACTTGATGAAATATAACAAGGGAAAGTGTAGAGTCCTGCATCTGGGCAGGAACAACCCCAGGTTCCAGTATAGGTTGGGGAACGACCTGTTAGAGAGCAGTGTAGGGGAGAGGGACCTGGGGGTCCTAGTGGACGACAGGATGACCATGAGCCAGCACTGTGCCCTTGTGGCCAAGAAGGCCAATAGTATCCTGGGGTGTATTAGAAGGGGGGTGGTTAGTAGGTCGAGAGAGGTCCTCCTTCCCCTCTACTCTGCCCTGGTGAGACCGCATCTGGAATATTGTGTCCAGTTCTGGGCCCCTCAGTTCAAGAAGGACAGGGAGCTGCTGGAGAGAGTCCAGCGCAGGGCAACAAAGATGATTAAGGGAGTGGAGCATCTCCCTTATGAGGAAAGACTGAGGGAGCTGGGTCTCTATAGTTTGGAGAAGAGGAGACTGAGGGGTGACCTTATAAGTGTCTATAAATATATAAAGGGGGAGTGTCACGAGGATGGAGCCAGGCTCTACTCAGTGGCAAACAATGATAGGACAAGGGGTAATGGGTACAAACTGGAACACAAGAGGTTCCACTTAAACTTGAGAAGGAACTTCTTCTCAGTGAGGGTGACGGAACACTGGAACAGGCTGCCCAGGGAGGTTGTGGAGTCTCCTTCCCTGGAGACATTCAAAACCTGCCTGGACACATTCCTGTGTAACATTATCTAGGTGTTCCTGCTCCGGCAGGTGGATCGGACTAGATGATCTTTCGAGGTCCCTTCCAATCTCTAGCATACTGTGTGATACTGTAATCCCTGGCAGGCCGGGGTGTCACAAACACTTTAGGACTCCTATTTACTTTCTTTTAATGAGTTTCTTGACTATTAACTCCCTTTTCACTCTTTCCATTGCCCCGTGAATGACACGGATATTGTATGAAAGAGCCAAATTAAAATTTCTGGGTGAGCATTTGAATTTAGGTTTCTTAGTCTGGAATTCAAATAAAACAGCAGCACAACTGAGTCCAATGAAATCTGTGGCCTGAAAACACACAACTCTCTGACAGAGGACTCCCAAGCCTACTGTGTGTCTTTCAGACTGCTTGTGGACGTCTTCCTGTCTTATGCCAAGGCCTCTTTATTGTGGCTTTAACTTTCAAGCTTGTTCTATTGCTTTCTCAAATTTCTTTCAAGGTTCTAGTTATAATTACCAGCTCTTTCCAAACCTTTCTTTGACCAGCTGTCATACTGCTGTGGAAGTATGCAATACTGGAAGGGTTAGCTCTAAATAGGGAGTGGAAGAAGCTGGCAGAGTCCACATCCTGGCTTTCTCAGCTCAAGCATGTACAGATCTAGCCATCAGCATGTCAGTGGCCCCAGGGCCTGCTTGCCTACTGGTGAGAATATGGGCATAAGGAAAGAAAGATGGATGTGTGGGTAGATCCAGTGCAGAGCAACACTTCCAGAAGGCGAGAAGGTGCTTAGACGTCATCATCACTCTGCCATGCCAAGGGTGTAAAGAAGACTATGGGGAACCAAAGCACTTATCTCTAACCACTCTCTTGAATGGTCAGGATCAATTCATAGCCATCTATCTTCAAGTAGCACTTCGAGTCCCACTACATGCTGCAACATTTCTGGTGGGTGAAATATTCTTCTATACAAGAGTAACACAGACAAGCTCAGCATAGATTTTGGGGTCTCTTGTAAGTCAGCAGAAATGGAGCAAGTAACCTCAGCTGAATATTTGGCCTTCTGTCCTTATTAAACTACAACCAACGAGTTCAACAAAAGAGCCCATATGTTATCTTTCTCTATTATTAACTTCTGTAACAAGTCAACATTCAAGTCAACACAAGAAAAAGCTGTAAACAATGGTCAGGTATGAAAAAGACATATTTCCTTAGGAGGCACGAAATATGCCTCCTAAGAAGGAGAATGGGGACTAACAGGGAGAGAAAGAATTTTTGCAGAAAAAGCTTTGGAGAGATAGAAGTCTATGCCATGAATAGGCGTTTCATATCTCAAGACTTAGCAGCCAAAGCAAATAAGAAGTCAGACCTTAGCAAAATTATACAGTTACAACTAATAAGGTCTGACATGTAATTCTTAATCCAGTTTTAAGGACTTGCCATCACTTGAAATCTTCTGTTTAAATGTACCTGATTTCCGTTGCATTCTCTGAAATTTGAGAAGAAGTCACTTCAAAGACAACCTAAAAACTCTGCAATAAATTAAGAATTTTTTTTACATTTTTGCCTGCGTAACTGGAGAAGCCAGGACTGATAGACTAAGACCAGTGTTCACAGAACGCAATGCGGGGCATTCACAGTAAATCTAAATCAGTAAATGAATATGGGTAATTTCAGGAGTTCCTGTTAACATAATAGATTAATCCAAAATGTAAAAGCAGATTGAAGAAGCTGAAGCCATAGCATTTCAGAAAGCAAAGGGCAAGTCCATTCTGATCTTACTCATTAAAAATTATTAAATAGGAAGAAAGGATTAGGGAAAGACACTGACAGGAAGGAAGTTAAGAAGCCATGATTGAAAATGTAGGACATTGCACCCCGATATTATTTATAGAGGGGAAGACTTAAGAATCACAAAGAAGGATTGCAGTAGGCCATTTACAGACAAAATTAAACAAAGGTCATTTCTTTCTCAGAGAACCGCTAGTCCAATGTCCATTACTGAAAATGATGAAAACCAAGATGATTAATGAGACAAGAAAGATGGACATTTCCTTTTCCTTTGGTGTACAGCCTGACAAAAATCAAAGAAAGGCTAAGCTGTACCCTCCAAAGCATATCCAGAGTGTTCAAATGTTTTATCTGGATAAAACAGGTACAGAAACAAAGAGGGAAAAGCAATCTTAAACATAACCTCATCACCACACCTCTTAATCAGTAACCACCTACCAAAACATTCAGACTACTTTTCTGATCTTCCTTTTCTAATTTCACATGGGATAGAGCAAGATCACTAGAGGGGGTAGGGGTCTGAACCTTTGGCTGGTCATTGCCCGTGCCTTCCTCCAACTTCCTCTGACCCTGAGGAATTGATAACATGCTCTTTGATTTCAGTTAGTACATATGGAGAGAGAAATAACATTTATTTACTCCAGACAGGTGCCAGGACTGTAAGAACTTCAATGACATGTGGATATTTCTGAACAGATAGTGTGGATTTAATGAGATACAATAAAAATACCAGCAATTAGGGCAACATTATCCGATACAGGTGCTTATGCTTAGCATTTCAAGAGGTTAGTTAAGAAATTTATTTACACACTGAAGTCAATCGGCAGTAGAAGTGCTCATCACATTAGTATGAGACCATTTACTTACATGCCTTGCCAGAGATAAGAGCTTAAGTCTCTGTGTTTCAGAATGCTGGCCTTGGTTATGAGCCAAAGTGTGCTCTAACTCATTTTTTTAGCACAGGAAAATTCTGTGGTTAGCTCTGACTGCAAGAGCAAGCAATTATCTACGACTGTTACTCTGTAACTTGGTATTCTTACAAAAAAATTAATTTTACAAGAGAGCTGAAGAAATAAGCTATTTTTACTTGGCAAAACAATGGATGTCAAGGGATGTGACTGCGAGTGTGAATACATGAAGGAGGAGTAAACCTGAGGGAGGTGAAAAGAGCTATTTAAGCTGATACGTAACCTTGGCACATGAACAAACAAAAGCTAACTGTCCATGAATAAAATTATGAAAAGTAGAAGCAGGTTGCCAATAATCCAAATAATGAGGGAAGGAAGAACCTAACAGAAGAAATGCAGAAACAATACCAAAGCGCTTTTAAGAAGCAGTTCAACTAGTTCCTGAAAGGGAATAAGAGGATTCAGCCTGTTGCTGTGGCTAAGCAGAGAGGCTTGGGACTACTTCCATGTCAGGTTGATATTCAGGTGAATAACCTCTTTCTCCTGCTTCCTTGTATCCTATTTTACGTCAACAAGGAGCATGAGGCCAGCAGAAGAGGGCAAAGCAAGAAGGGTGATGGCACAAAGTGCCTCAGTCGGATTTCTTTCCTGAAAATTCAGGGTACTAAGAATTTAGTCAACAGACTGAACCTACCTAGGTCCCCCTTGTGGTACCAGAGAACCAGAGTAGTATGCTCAGAAAGTCACCCTTTATGTTTCTATCAGTTAACACTCCCTTATTTTCTATGTTTAGAAGATATTTAAAGAAAAATACCCCACATTTTGTATACATTAAAAGTCAAGACCTCCCCAAGCACACCTTGTTATCACAAAGCCAGACACACTGAGAGACAATCATTCCAACAGCTAAATAACTGATCTTTAGTTAATTAAACTACCGTTGATTATTAAACTGAACACCTGACTGCAATCCTTACAAGGATCTGCAGGACCATAGGAGAGCTCTGATCCTTTCACTGGCATACTGATACAAATTCCCCTCTTTGAAGAGTACTTCCTATTACAGATGCCACATCATTGCTGAAGTCCTTGTTCTATTTCCCAACTTGATTTTTAGCCTACCACATAAAAGCTCCTTAATCACATACACTGGTTTGTTATACATAGAACACTGCAATAACTTCTGCTGTGTCAATTGAAAATGCACCAGACAAAAATGAAAGAACTTCTAAAAAGCAAAGTTTGACTACTGATATTTAACATGAGATATCCCTTATCCAGCCACAGGCAATGTCACTCCATTTTTTCAAAAATGATGAACCTGTTTGCTTGCACAGATAAAACAATTAGAGCTAAACTGTGTTGGTCAAATTGAATTTACAAAGATGTTTTCCGGCTTGTTCAAAACTGCTGGACAGGCTACTAAGCCTCAAATATCTCATACACCACCATTTACTTTACCACCAAACTTCTAGCTGTAAAGTTCATTCATTTTCTCACCAAGAGAAAAGGTCCCACAGACCACATTCCACACCACTTGAAGTTTCTACCATAAGAATGTCACCCACAGTTTTGATGCAGTGTTGTCACTTTCTTTGCCTTGCTTCTGTCCCTTGGCTGACTGGCAAGCCAGTTTTGTATCAAACAACACAAGGCCCAAGTCCTCATTCCTTGGAGGAGTAATTCTCCCACCAATTTCAGACACAGTCTTGTGGAGACAGCCACTCACCATATTGCTTGGGTGTTGATGCTCAACTGCTTGCCTCAGAAAACAAACAGCAAAGAGCCCCAGTCTCACCATCATCATGAGGATCTTTTCACTGTCCTTATGAGCAAGTGTTGATTAAGCTCATTTCCTGGGTGCAGAGTGCACAGCCAGCCTTTAAGTCCTGGGAAGTGATCCATGCACAACTCCCTCACTTCTCAGGACCATTATCATCAACTCTTCCTCTTTGCTGATCCTTTGGAGGAGGGATAATTTTTTCCCAGGCTGTTCATTACTCTGAACAAGAGAAGGAGGGGCAGGAACAGCAGCCACAGTTTGACAAATGACCCTTAGTAACAGATTAAACAAATGGTAAAAATTAGCCGTGCTACAAACTCCCCTAACTCCCTCTCCCTTCACTACTGCACAAGCACCTTCCTTCCCACCTGCATCCATATAATAGACTGAAAGAGATCTTCTCAGGGTCCTTAATTAGCAGGAACACATTAATGGAGAGGAAGGATGACCAAAGCACACACAATTAGTCACTGAATATAATTGTAATTCAGGACAGATTCAGTGACTAATTGATTCTCAAGTCCAGCATTACCCAGACACCAATAAAAATGCCTGGCATGAGAGCGCTCTGCATCCAGTAATCGCTTTCACACCAAAACCTCTGTCACAATGGCTTATATCAACAAAAGCAACCAGAGTGTTTGCAGCCGAGTCAATTGTTAACTTACCCCACTCAATGGACCCTCACACTCCCTGGAAAAGGAAAGGTACAGAGTTGGTGCAGATATTCTAGCTCCCTTTTGGGGCTGAGCAGACAGCTAGGGTTTCAGCATGATCAGTCAGCTTAGGAGCACAAGACAGGCCAAATTCCTCCCAACTCTGTCAGATATTTTTTTAAAGACCCCCTCTTGTAGGAATATATTCACACCTGAGAGCTTGAACACAAAAATAGTGGCTTTGCATCTGGAAATCTTAAAGGTGTAGATTAGTAGAGGCTGAGAAAATAGACATCTGGCCTTCTCTGATACGGTCATTCTTATGTTCTGAAACTGGAGGCTGCGCAAACATCCTTGCCTGCCTGCTCAGCCTGCCATATCATGTCTCCTCATACAACCAGTCAGCTGGTAGTGAAAAGTAGCACTAGGACATACCTTGTATCCTTTGCATAATCATGCTGACTTCTCATCTTTTTCTAAGCTTCATCTGAAAAAGGTCATTTTATCTCCTTCTGTTGCTTTATAGTTGTCTTCTAGTGCACATAATGAGAGTATTTACATGGAAGTAGTCAATCAGGTCAACCTGTCTTCTATTGCCTTTTCATTTTTTATTAAGATGATCAAGTTCTGCTTTGTTGTTAAGCAGGTGTATCTTTTAACCTCACTAGAGACTAATCTGCTTCAGCAAGTACCTTGTTTGAGGGGTAATCACTTGAATGAAAATTCTCCTCCAAATTCTGCAAGGAGGGTCTTGAGTCTGATGTGTCATTTTTCCAGCGTGCAGGGGTCTTTTCTTGGGGCAATCAGGTATCATTCCATTACATGATCCAAAATGCAGCCCAGTGAAGAGGGCTTGACCTATGGGTGTCCTTAGGCTATACCCACATCTCATTTCTGAATGATCGTGACAGAGACCACCTAATCATGCTTTAACCTGCCTCTCATTAGTGCTGTAAATCCCAACCACTTCTACCACATCACTAAGCATATGAAACATAGAAAAGCTAGGCTACAGAGTTGCTCTCCTTACTATATCTCTGTGCCTGTTATTTTTTGCCCACAAAAGGATTCTGCATCAGCAGATTAAAATAGCTAACCTTCTAAATTAAATAACTCTGGGTTTATTTCCTAATTTTCCATCACAGTAAATAAAATTAGTCCAAATCACTCTCAGTTCTTCACAGGAACACTTTCATTTTAAATCAGCTGCATGAAGTAGAGATTTGGAGCATCAAGGCGGAAGCGTTTATCTTACTGTCAGCCAAACACACAGAAGTGAATTCAAAGTTGAAGACGACAACAGAGACTTTCAGTAGTGTCTATTTTTTTGTGTGTGGTATTTGCTGAACTGCCAAATTTTCTGTGAAATATTTGGAAATCCTTTTGGGCCAATGCTGTGCCACTGCATCTCAGTGTAATCCCCTTTTGCCATATCATTGCTACTACCAATCTTTCAGTATGTAATAAGCAGTGATACCTAGTCAGTGTGTGTGATGTGTCTGGAGTTTCCATTCCTAAGACTTTCATTTGCATCGGGTTACACATCTCAGTCTCCATCTATAAAAGTACATCTGAAATGCCTGGGTGCCAAACATTGAATCTTTGCCTGGGAAGTCCTTTGTTTCCAGTTTTACTTTTATCTGCAAGTAGCGTATCGAAAAAATAGGCATTCTTACTTGTACTGGGGCAGAAATCTTCAGAGAGCCATACATGCCTCATGGGATCAGATGATATCAACAGTTTCAGCATGTAAATATCTTCAACCATGGCCTATGAAGAAGCAAAACATTTGTGCAGGTGACTATACACACAAGCACGCACACTGTAAAGAACAGGGAGTACTTGTGGAATTTTAAATAAATCTTCTGCATTTTGCCTTAAAAATCTCTAATTGTGGTTATACCCAAGAGAAGTTTTATCCTGTGTACCCATAATGGCGCTTTTCCCAGCAGGGAGTCCTGGTGGTAGCCAGAGAGGTGTAGGGAGTCTGAAGTGCAAAGGAAGGAGCAGGACAATGTCTCACCTCTCATCTCAGGCCACCCCTCACACCAGCATCGTTCTAGAAATGGGACCAGCCTGAGGCACACCATCCCAGGGGCCACTGACCTTCGTTACCAAGTCAAAGGAGCAGGAAATTCTACAGGATATCTCAGTGAGATTTCCTTTCATCTCATGGAAATTGAGCTGCAGAGAGTGCACACAAAGATCTTGTAAATAGCTTCTCTACCTGCTGCAAGTAACACCTTATTTGGAAGCGTGTTGAAATGACTGTGTCTTGTAAGAGTGTTGCAGGCTTGACACCTGTGCTTGACAAAAGCACAAGGAGAACATTTTGGGGTAGAGAGTGAAAATCTACCACTCGCTTCAAGTGAAACCCCTGAAAGATGGACTTGTTGGACTAAGGGTCTACGTAGCCCAACTTACTTGTTTGGTTTTTACCCAAAGACTTAAAAAGTAGGATTTCAATATACCAGCTACCCTCTTATTCTCCTGAATAAAGGCTTGTTTTCTCAGTTCATTTCAATGAGAGCCTGTTCAAGGAACACTGCTACTTACACAGGGCTCTACTTTTGTACAGACATGATTTTGTTTGCCACTAGCAATGCATATAACAGTGTGTGGCTGAGTCACTCATACCCCACCACTGCTTCAGGAAAACTGTAGTCAAGCCTGTTGTGAGTGCTTACCTCCATATGATGCTGCTGTATACCCCTATTGCTGCAGGACATTCATCTCTACCAGAGGCTTTGGGCTCTTCACAGCGACTGTGGTCAGAGCATCTCATTCTTCACAGCCTGCAGCACTCCAGAGGAGACTCAGGCATGGCCTTTAGCCCACTTACATGAAGACTATAACATTAATTTGGCACAATGTGCCAAATGTTCAGCTGTGAAAATCACATTAGCTCCCTTTGAGTCATTGGCTGTACCAATTAACTCCAAGAATGAGACATCTACCACCTCACTGTGCAACCTGTTCCAGTGTTTCACTTCCTTCATTATAAAAAATTTCTTGCTTACATCTCCCTTTTTTAGTTTAAACCCATTACCCCTTGCCCTGTTGGAACAGGCCCTGCTAAATGTTTGTGCCCATCTTCTGTATAGGGATATTCAACAGGAGTAAAGAAGTGGCTGAAGTCTCTCACTGAGAGGGTCCTGTGATCCCCTAAGCTGGAGAAAAATCATATCTTCACTTGTTGAACGAAATGGTGTGCAAGGCAAGTAATTTTAGTGTGGAATCTGGGGCTGTGCAGATAGCAAAGTAAGTTTTCTATAGCTGTGGTCTGAGATTTCTGCTGTTCTGAGGTCAGGTCCACCTTTAGTAAAGGGCTCCAGGGAAATGAATTGCCTTGAAAAGGGCCAAGTTTCTAAAGAAGAAAGAAGCCCAGAACTGAGTCATTGCCCGCTGGAAAGCCAGGTAACATCACTCCAAAGTTTTATCTGGGAAAGCACATAGAATTATTTAGTTTGGAAAAGACACTTAAGATCATTAAGTCCAACACACACTACCTTCTTCTTTCTCGCAAACATTAAGCTGACACAAACACATTTACTTCATTGAATTAACATAAATTACAATCTGCTTGAATTGTGCAAGCCAGGACTCTCAAAAGAATGTTTTGTGAGATTTCCAAAACGATTCTCTGAGGTTGGAAATTTTATGAGAATAACCCTTTTATTCCCGGCATTTGATGCTCTGTCATCAAGTCAAAAGCAGAAGCATAGAGGGCTCAAAATGAGAGAGTATTCCAGTAAAACAGTGTCAAATGGGAACTTTCTAAAAGGCTTAGTTTGGTATGAGTTTGATGATGAAATGGGCAGAACTAGCTTGTTCTTCACAGAACCCTGTCCTAACTGTGTCTGTGTTCATGCTGGTCCATATCCCATTAGTGAGGAAGGTGTACAGGGTTCAGTACTGCTTGTTTGCAGAGCTTCTTCTGCACAGTGAGAGCAGCTGTTAACAGCTCTGTCGAGATCTGAGCTTCAGAGAGTTAACGCATAGCTCACCTCTGAATTTGACCCTGTGAACTAACAGCTTCCTTCAAACCCTTCTAGTATCTCTTTGATGAAAATGTTTTAAAACAAGATACTGGAACAAATGTATGGTAAAAATTAAGCGGTTTACAGAGAGTTTTGTCTAACCCTGCAAAGCAAGATACTCTAAGCAAATATTTATAGTCTGCTCATTAGGAGTTTAGATACAAGCCTACTAGACCTATTTACAGTCTGCTTGTTAGAAGTTCAGATACACGCTAATATCAGCACTTGAAAATTAGTCACTCTTCTTTTTCCCGTTATGCAATGGATTCAAGAGAATAGTTTTCTTCTCTGATATTTGTTGTGGGGAAGGTATATTTAACCATAGGGGGTAACTTGGGGTTACCCAAGAGATGCAGAGATCCCACTAGCACCCCAGTCAGTGTTACGTGAATGGTCTGAATCCTTCCAAGTAGGTGTCTGCTGTGGCAGGCCATGCACACATCCCAGCAGGATGCCTTGGTTGCCTTTTATGGAGTTATTTCTTGAAGGTGGTTGAATTGGGAGTGGTTTGACAACAGAAGTAACCAGTTGGAGGCCTTCCACATGGACACCATATCTGTCCAAAGCTCTGCTTTCCGTATCACTTGCATATGCACCAAATGCACACAATGGCCCACTCTCCAGGCTGCTCAATGCCTGCGGAGAAACTGAGCAAGCAAACCAGAAGCCGCAGGAAGTCTCTGCCTGCCTCTGCCACAGGAATCAGTACAAGTGAAGCTTGTACGTTCCTCCTGCATGTGTGCTCATCATTCCACATTAACCACTGCAGATTTTGCATGTGTTCAGCACACACACATTGGGAAAAAGCCTTTGGGAAACACAGCTCTATAATAGAAAAGGTTCTGAAATACAGCTAAGAAAAGACTTTCCTTTTCTTGTTTTCCTTGCAGCATTATTTATATTCATCTTTAGCAAGGCAAAAAGCTTCTACAGGAATCACTCCATTACAGAAAAAAGGCTAAGATGCGTGAGCTTGAAATGCAGCCCAGGCAGGTGCATGTTGCCCTCCTAAATGCCGTTTCCCTTCTACCCCAGCTCACTTTCCCTTTGACACAGCTGGCAGGCCTTTTTCCTAGCGTAGCTGGAAAGAGGGGACATTATGGTCTGAAGCAGGATAATTTTGGGCAGCCATGAGTTAAGGATTAGTTACTATTAGTTAAAGTAAACAACATTATTAGTTCTACCTTTCCAAAACGTGATAATAAAACAATAATGTAAGTCACCAATTCCTGGCCTTTCTCCAGTATTCTGAAGTTTTGTTATGATTTACTGGACACAACAATGTCAGGCAAATCTATTATTTTTCAGATGGCTGTTTATCTCAAGCCTGCTCTCCAGAACTGGCTCTTTTTTCAAGGCACGCAGCTTTATCTTGAATTCACAGAGATTGACCTGTCTGACTTCTGCTAGAATATGCTATGGTTACTTTCCAAACTATACACGAATATATACATAAAAAGCAAAAAAGAAGCATATAGTGATGCCAGAATTTTAGGTACGTTCTGTGTTGGGGCAAGTTTTGATTTTGTTCTATTTTCAATGTCTCTTGTGGAATGAAACTAGTGGTATACAATAGCATGCTTACATCAAAACATTGGCAGATATATTGAGTGATAACAGTTTAATCTCTGATTCTGCTGACATAAACTTCTTCTCCTCTTGTTATTCATTATAAGTTCCACTTTTGCGTTTTGTTTTGTTGCTTGGGTTTGTTTTGTTTAATTTTTTTTTTAATCTGGGATTTGAACCTATTGCATTCACTGAGATGAGACATCAGTAAGATTAGCTTCAGGCCCCAATGTATTAAAG